AATTGGTGTTTATTGGAGTTGATGAGAAGTGAGCATTTATTATTGTGTGCAAAGAGGATGTCTGCGTGCGTATAGAAGAGGAGGCATGCGCACCGAGCGAAGGCAGCTGCTCGCAGGACATTCTGTTTGCGCCCGATCACGTTGAAGCATCATCAGTGCTGGAGCACAGGGACTGCTAAACGTACGAGTGGACAACACTGCCAGCTACTACCTGTTAAGACGTTCTGTTCCGGGGAGCTAGTGTTGTCGTCTTTGCCGGCGGGGCGAAGACCAAGAATCGGGGCGACGGAGTCCATGCGCCGTTTTCGGAGAAGAAGCGTCGACCACTTTGGTACGTGCGATGTGACGTTGCGTGTGGTTCCACAGGAGAATAAGAGAGCGCTAGCCGACAGCGGTCAGCGCACAGCAGTGATACGTATCGCATAGGGGGGCATAGGCCAGACGGGCACAAATGCCATGTGTTGGCAGGCGGGTGTGCATATGATGTGTCGCTATTCTTGGGGGCTTGCTCGAGCAGGGCGATGCCTAGCTGATGATGATGCGAATGCGGCGCGTGCGCTGGTGTGCATGGAGCGACGCAGTTTCAATCACAAGAATGACAAACCAAGGGTGCAATACGCGACAGAGGATATCATACGAGTATGCCAGACACAACCGAACCCCCTTTGCGTGCGAAGAGGGTGTTATAACGACCGCTAGGAGCGGACCAGTTTGGTTGGTTTGTTTTGTTTACAAACTTCAACGCGTGTGTCGGCATACGCGGCCAAGCGGAGAAATACAGAATATACGTCGCAGGGCGGATGTAATTATTAAATTCCGGGACAGCAGTCTCGGAGACTGCTGTGGTGTGGTTGGGCTAACACAACTCACNATTCCGGTACAGCAGTCTCGGAGACTGCTGTGGTGTGGTTGGGCTAACACAACTCACAATTACCAGACAAGGCACAAGTTTGAGTGCAGGTCCTTAATCACACGACGAGGCACGAATATTAGAGTGCAGGTCCGTCGGATCGAGGAAGAGGGGCCAAGAGACGAAATACAAACTAATTCGTCGGCCCGAGGAAAGGTGGTGGATAATATCCACACCCACACCCAACACACGTTGATTTCGCAGCAGCTTGTTATTCGTGTACACTTGATGGACGTTTTTTTTTTTCCCACGACGTTTTCCAGAAGTCAATGTGGACAGGATAAAAAGGTGGGGCGATGATTGATATAAACCATGGTGGCTGGTCATCTGGCGATGAGTTGTGGTTATCGAGGTGTAGCACGTATGTCGCTGGTGCGATTGCGGGACGGATTGCGGCCGTCAGGAAACAGAATCCGGGGGCCGATTTTGTACGCACGAATATGGTCGTCGTGTATGGAAAAATCGGTGGCACGGCAGGAAAAAAACGATTCAATATAGAGCGAGCTAGTACGCTCGCGCGTATGATGCTGGCTCACGGTAATTGATCGTAGACCAGGATACGGGTCATATGAGAGATCAGACGTGGTGGTCAGGAGTCGCTGGTGCGGCTGGGATACAGTATGCGGTCGTTAAGATACGTATGCATACTGAAGGTTACTCGAATCGGTTGCACGTACGACTATGGGTCGTTGGCACGGAATGATCGGTCGAGACGGAAATGATCGATTTGGAGGCTGCTAGTACGCTGGTGCGTACGATGTCGGCACACGGTTATCGATTATAGACCAGGGTCCGGGTCATCTGGAGATGAGCCGTGGTGGTCAGGAGTCGCTGGGGCGGCGGGAATACTGTATGCGGTCGTGGTGATACATACGCATACTGAATGTTACTCAACCGATTTGCACGTATGACTGTGTTCGTTGGCACGGAAGAATCGGTCGAGAGAACAAGAGACACAACGCGATATATACAGCTGGTAATGGTACCACACTGCATATACCACTGGTCACGCTAGAGCCTTCTGATGCGGTCATCTGGTGATGAGACGTGGTGGTCAGGAGTAGCGTGTAGGTCGCTGGTGCGGCTGGGATACGGTTGGCATACGCATCATTCTCTTAAGTCCCCGATGTATATTGTCCCACTTGTTCATCATGATCAGGAAATTGATTGGTGCATCGGCGGCAAGCCGGCCGGGGGCGGAGATATGAGCGGGGACGAGCACTCCTCCGACGAGTCCGTGATCGACCGCGGCGAGTATGAGGCGTCGCGGCAGGACAGCGCTAACGAGCGAGCCGTCATCTGCGCCTCGGTGGAGGACCTGAAGGCCGAGATGGGGGTGAGGTTCACGGAGGTGCTGGCAGCCGTGCGTGATCGGGGCGGCGGGGCCGCCGCGGGTGGCGCTGCCGGAGCTGCACCAGCGCCCGGATATGGGGGCGCGCGTGCAGCTGCCGGCGGGGCGTCGGCGCCCACGTATGGGGGCGCGAACGCGGGTTACGGGCTCCACCGCGTGGAGTCGAGTCCCGGGTTGCTGCAGGGCGCTGGTCGGTACGGCAGTGGGGGCGGCTTAGGCTTCACTCCCGCGATTTCGTCCCCGTTTGGAGCGGGAGGCCTTAACGTCGACTCCGGGGGAAACGGGATGGGCACGGGGATGTCGCACGCCCAGCGGCGGATGGAAAAGGTGATTTCGGACCAGCGGGTGAACGCTTGGAGCGCGGTTAACAGCCGCATGTGGTGGGTGGTGATGGGATGTTTTCCGCCGAAGTTAGAGACGCCGAGCTTGCAAGGGTTAATGCATGATAGTTTTGAGGTCACGGACGAGGTGGCCGACATGCTCTTGAACTTCCGTGGCTTTGACCCTGCTGCATTCGCGCCCCGGGGGGCGGGTGGTGAACGTATCCCCATCGCAACGCATTTGGCCCTCATGGCGGGGGCCTTCATCACCATCGCCCGCCGGGGGATCGTCGACGAACCGAGGTTGGCGGCGGCATCGAGAGCGCAGGTGGATCGTGTCGAAGCCTCGTTCCAGGCGGCCATCGCCGACGTGGAGCGGCACACTCGGGAGAATTACGCGGCCATCCAAGTACCGCACAACCGCGACATCTTTTTGACTTTCATCGTCAAGGACATGGACATTTACACGCGCGAAGTACAGATGTTCGCGGACGAGATGCAGCGGCGCTTCGTTTTCCCTCCGGGGGGAAGGGCAGCAAGGCCAGGGACCCGGGGCCGTGCTACCAGTTCCAGAAACACGGTACATGTCGGTGGGGGAAAGACTGCAAGTTCGCGCATGTGGCGCCGCGGAAGGCCGGCGAAAAGGGAGGAAAACGGGGGGGCATGACTGGCGGCGGGGCCGAGGATGGTGGCTCCAAAGGTAGCCCCTCCACCGTCGCGGACACCAACGCTCCTGCCGCCGCCGCCCCAGCGAAGCGGGCCAAGGTGGGAACGGCCGGGACGAAGACTCGCAGCAGTGCGAAGGGCGGTGCCGGCGGCGGCGCGGAGGACAGCGATGAGGAATAGGGGCGCGGGCCCTGCCCCCCGGGGGGGGGAGGGCCGTCTTTCGATGTCGCGGGGGGTGTGGTCTCGGGTCCGAGCACACACCTCATACGACCAGGGGCGGCTACTGCGTTGACCCGAGGTGGGGTTGGTAATTTAGATGGCAATGATGTTAGGCGTATTGTTTCTATGGTACATGCTATGTCTCAGACCGTCGCCCAAGGTACACCACGTGCAACCGTACTTGCTCAGATCGCGGTGAGGTGTTTTCGGTTTTTGTCGCAGCATGGGGGAAGATTTGAATGCATGAAAGCCATCGAAAACGGCATCGGGGTGCCGCGGGTACGGCCTGAATTCATTCGGTTTTGGTTTGGACGCTCGAAGGGTTTCCTCACACAGAGACGGTCGCTGATATCGTGGAACGTGGCACCATAGTGCCCGTGTGTGGATCTGCCGAAATCGCAGCAGCGCTATCGTATGGTAACCACCGTAGTGTCGTCCCATATTCTGACACTATTTTACGGAAAGTGTTTGATGACGTGCGGTTTGGGCGGGCGTTCGTGTTTCCAAAGACAGAGGCATACTCGATACCGGGGTTGCGGCTTTCTCCGCTAGGTGTCGTCGTGTCGCCTGAGAAAATTCGGATTATCCATGACTTGACGTTTGAATGCTCACCCGTGTCGCGTAGTGTCAATGCCGACACGGATTCAGAGGCGGCGCCGAAAGTCGAGTTAGGTCACGTGTTGCGGGACATCGTGTGGCGCATTTTATGGTTGCGGAGGACGTACGGACCATCGGCCCGGATTGTGTTAAGCAAAATAGACGTGACGGACGCATTTCGACAGGTTGCGGTTCAATGGTCGGAATTTGGCTACTCAGTTAGGGACCTTGTCATGGTAGATCGGCGCTTGGTGTTTGGGTGGCGCAATTCACTTGGCACTTCTTGTATCTGCAGCGTTGGAGCACTCTCACAATCATACGTCTGAAGCGAATGCAGTAGTCACTGAGCTTGGCCGGACGGTTACGAACCACGTTGAGGTTCCGTTACCGAGCGAACGTGAGACGACACCCCCATTCCCCCCTGGGTGTCGCATCCCCCCAGGTTCGGAGGGCGGTCGCTCTGACTCGTTTTTCGTGCGGTTCTATGTCGACGATGGTATTTTGGTGGAAGTGATGTGGAGCCCGACTGGGGACCGGTGTAAAGTAGCTTCCGCATCGTGTGCATCGGACCATTTCCGGGTTTTTGGGGCGCGGGGGTCAGGGGACCCTCCTTTGTTGTCTGCGCATAAACTTTCCTCGTGGTGTACAAGGTTGTGTGTGCTCGGGTGGGACATTGATAC